TGACAGATTTCTGCCGGCTACACGAACCATGGCTGAGATGTTTAGAGGTCGACTCTCCTCACAGACCATTCGAAATCGGTTGCGGGCTGCCAATCTCCATTCTCGACGTCCATATCGTGGGCCAATATTGACGCCGTTTCATCAACGTCAACGTCTGCTGTGGGCCCAACGTCACCTCCGATGGACCCAGAGAGACTGGAATCGAGTCGTCTTTAGCGATGAATCCAGGTTTACCCTCAGATTTCGCGGACGGACAGGGCATAGAGTCTGGAGACGACGTCAGGAGCGGTATGCCCAATGTTGTGTACAGGAAGTCGACAGATTCGGGCGGAAGTTGCATGGTGTGGGGTGCTTTCTGTGGGAACAACCTTTCCCGACTTCTGGTCATCCGTGGAAACCTCACAGCTGCTGCTTATCGCGACCAGGTGCTCACCCCTGAACTCGTTCCTTTCATGGCGCTGCTCATGGCCCAGGTCTACAGTTCCAGCATGATAATGCTTCGGCCGCATACCAGCGATGTTGACACAAAATTTCCTTCAAAACGCTGGAATCAACGTCATGGACTGGCCATCGAGGTCCCCTGACCTTAATCCAATAGAGCACGTTTGGGATGCACTTGGGAGAAGGCTTCGTGGTCTTAGGAACCAACCTCAGAATTTGCAGGAACTTGGCTGCCTTGCAAGAGCAATGGCGCCAGAATCCCCAACCACGTGTTCACAAGCATCAGGCAGTCGATGAGGAGACGGTGATTGGCAGCGGTGAATTTCGCGGCGGGCAAGGCCATACACAATATTGAACTGAGAAATTTCGCATTTTTATTCTTGTGACTTGACATTCTGTATACCCATGTTTTGGAACGGCGGTGTAGCCTAATGGAACTGATTATGGCACTGTCAGTGTATCGAGTACATCACACAGATCTCAGCAATGAAATAATAACAATTTAACCATCTTACCATCTCTTGTTCTTTTATAGTGCCCTGAAGAAAGAATGTGAAGTTTCTTTTTTGACTCAGTATATATTCAGGTATGATACAACCTTACCTCATCACAACAGTTTATGTGTGATTTTATCAATGTCATTTCAAATTGATAAGCAATAATATTTCTTTCCATCAACAATAATTATGATTATCAAACTTTTTCGCCAGCACTAATTCTTAGAGTGCTGAAAGTCATATTTGACGACTGCCTCACCATCAAAAAGCAGACCTTGATTNATTTACAGACTGCCACCAGATAGCTGGAATATTGCTGAGTGCGGTGTAAAACTAAACTCACTCACTCACTCAAATAAGCATCTTTTGTAATCTGGGCCCACTGCGACAGAGCCAGTTTCACTCAAGGTGATCCGCAGTTGCTAAGTGTGTCCTTAGCAAAGAGGAGCTTTGTGAATGTGGGCCCTGCTCAGCTCAGTGTGACATGTAATATTAATATTATATTCATATTAAAAATAATTATGTTTGGAAACACTCATGTACAGTATCACTGCTTTCTGGGATCCAGTTTCTGGAAAATATTCTATATTCACAACAACTATCAACAACTGCCAATGTTTAATGCAGTTGAGGGTGCCTAATATTCTTAAAATGTGCTTGAAAACCTTTTCAATTTTATATATTTGAAAATAAAACATTGTATTGCTGGCAAAACAAATCTGAATTCACAAAACAAACTTTCCTATTTTCACTTTGTATTCATCAGAGAAGATTCTAAATGGGTTTTCACAATTGTCAAGCTAGACATCCTGAAGTTTTGCATTAAACCCTTCAGCCGTTTCAAAGAAGATGTGGATAGTTAACAAGCAGACAGATGAATGGACAGAGACACAACATGCAAGGCCAAAAGTTCATTAAGACCTTCAGTTGTTGTAAGCACGTAAGACAGAGGCCCAGATAAGCTGCGTATCCGGGGTAAAAATCATATAAAATTTCAATTACGCATTGAAAAATAATTGTTGCGTACCAATTACGCATTTAAAATGTTAGATACATAAAAGTTTAAAACAAATGTGTACGGAATATATTTATAAAAATCGCTTGCGTAATGAAAAAGACATCGATTGCTATCAAATTGTACTGTTAGTATAGGACAAGTGTTGTACTGTCAGTATAGGATGAGTGATTTTTTATGAAATCATTTCCATTATATTTAAGTTGGTTTTGATTAGGTATGACATAAGGCAGAACATACCTGCTTAGTAAACTTACTCAGTCACATAATACTTAGGTGAGTAAAATGACTGAAATACGCACATATTTGAAAGCAGTGGGTAACGGAAAATGAAATACCCACTCAACATTCATAATACCCACTCCAAAAATACAGTGGGTACAGTACCCACACTGAGCTAAATCTTATCTGGGCTGAGGTAAGAGATAGTATTAACGACTGCATTAGAAGTGTAACAATATAAGGCCAAAACTTCATTAGGACCTTCAGTTCTTGTAAGCACGTAAGAGATAGTATTAACGACTGCATTAGAAGTGTAACAATATAAGGCCAAAACTTCATTAGGACCTTCAGTTGTTGTAAGCAGGTAAGAGATAATATTAACAACTGCATTCCCATTTCGCAGGTGAGTCACGCCTAAAATCATTTGTTTTAAAATGCAGGGAGTAAACATTTTATTGTTGGGCAGCTTAGGGACACGGTGATGATTCTGCTATTAATACTCAGCCTAGAATTTTCAGAAAATCTGCATAAGCTGGTTCTTGGACATTTTCTATTATTATTCACATGTCTTCACGACTGACTTGTGATGTATTTTATGTATTGCGATACAAAGGCTGTAAATCACTGTATAATATCATCAGCCTTATACCCCGATACAATTTATACCGGCAAGGGTAGACACTGCTACCAAAAGGTGTACATCAGGCTGCTATAAATTGTATTACCGAGAGAGAAAGCATACAAGCGTATTTATCTTACCGCCATGTTAAATTTACAAAATATCATTTTATTTCATTTCAAAGATCGCTACCGACTTTATGACATGTAAACAAAATGGCATCTGCTTCTTGACTAGATTTTTAAAATCAGTGAAACATATTCTGACAAGCTTAAAACTGCTAAAAATTGGTTAATTATGTCTAAATTGAGTGTGCAAACGATTCAATGTATAAAATAGTTTAAACAAGTGCAGAAGTGAGCACAGCTCACATACCCCCGCTTCCCACTTTGGGACATGGAAATGACTGATATTGACATATATAATGTGACAAGCAGCTCACAAGACTTTCTCCTTGACTCTACTAAACTTTATATACATGTTAGATAATAGTTTTGCCATGTACTGATTACAGTAATAATTTATGGAAACATTATTTTTTTGTGTTTTCCGTGGAAACCTGACATACAATTGAACTTGACTGTCTCATGTTGCACACAATGAAGTGGACGTTGATAAAGATTGTTATTTTTTAGCACATGGCATATCTGTGGGTCATGATTAACTTGTGTATTAAGTTTGGTGAACCTAGCATGTATAGTTTCGATGATATGCTGTGGCCAGGTAACCATCAAACACATTTTGCACCAAGTCATGTTTCCATGGAAAGAACAACAAAACAAATTCTGGAAAAAAATAAAAAATAACAAAAGGCACATCAATGGGTAATGATTAACATGTGTGTGAAGTTTGGTGAACCTAGCATGTAAACTTTAAGAGATATGCTCCAGACAAAACCATCAAACACATTTGGCACTAAGTCGTTTTTCCATGGAAACAGCCAAAAAACAAAATTCTGAAGAAACTTTAAAATAGCAAAAGGCACATCAATGGGTAATGATTAACATGTGTGTGAAGTTTGGTGAACCTAGCATGTAAACTTTAAGAGATATGCTCCGGACAAAACAGTCAAACTCATTTGGCACTAAGTCGTGTTTCCATAGAAACAGCAAAATCAAAATTCTGAAGAAACTTTAAAATAGCAAAAGGCACATCAATGGGTAATGATTAACATGTGTGTGAAGTTTGGTGAACCTAGCATGTAAACTTTAAGAGATATGCTCCAGACAAAACAGTCAAACTCATTTGGCACTAAGTCGTGTTTCCATGGAAACAGCCAAAAAACAAAATTCTGAAGAAACTTTAAAATAGTAAAAGGCACATCAATGGGTAATGATTAACATGTGTGTGAAGTTTGGTGAACCTAGAATGTAAACTTTAAGAGATATGCTCCGGACAAACTTTCGGGACGGACGGACAGAATGAACGCTATATACCCCCGTTACTTCGTAGCGGGGGTATAATAAAGCAGTGAAAGTCAGTCAAATAAATGTGTACATAGTGTGAACTCAAAAACAGTTAATCGAAAGGTTTTCGAACCCCGGGCACTGCATGCGTCAGCTTCTGGGCAGAGAGTTTGACGGGTTACCATGGCAGGGGGTAATATTTTTTCCAGTTGTCACCCTCCTCTGAGGGGTGACACAGAAACATGTTAAAGCATCATTGACCAATGAAATTAAAGAATTTTACATGAAGGTAAGATAATACTGTATTATTACACTCCTTAACAGCACAAAATAAGGTGGAAACTAGCCTAAAGCTTAGTCTCTGAACATATATAACTTTGATAGTAACAAACAAACCCATTCAAATTGAAAAGGAGCCCCAGGGAGACTAGAGATTCAGAACCTGAACCTGAGGAAATCTAGACTTGCTTTATTTAGGGCTTTAGCACTGCAGAGAGGGCTTGGCAGTAGGGAAAATAGTGTGGTTCAGGGACTGTGAGACAGACTAGGTGGAAACAAACTCCCCCATGTCAGAGTCAAACACAAAACATGGGCAGTATACAAGATCTTATGTGATCAGATATTGGTATTTCAGGATCAATCATAAATATCAATCACACACTCCCGTCAATCTCATCGAAACCATATTTTAGTTCTCCTTACTGCTAAACAAACATCTAAGACAAGACATTATGGGTCATGTCAGAATGATATGTTGCAAACACTGATTGACCAATGAAATGACAAAGAAGAAACTGACATTAGCCAATCAGAAAGCAAATTTTATTGAGCTTTATGGCACAAGTTAACCCAGTGATATGCATCCAGACTGTGTCTTGTAAAATACTGAACACTTAAACACAAGTTTAAATCTGAAATAAGGAACAGACGATGATTTTGATGGAATAGTCGTCCAGTCCATAAATATAATTTGGAATACTCTGAGTTGACCATTTCCAGTTGTCAGTCTTCAGATGTGGCAAACAGCCCTCTGATTGGTCAGTTGAAAGGTCATATAAAGGTGATCAGAAAGATGTCCTTAAATCTTTGTTTACCCCCGGTACTGGTTGTGGGAAGTTGGAAATTTGATTTTAATGAGACAGATTTTTACATTTACTGCACACAGTGTTGTGCGTAACAACCTCAGTCTCTACCCATGTCTAAGTGGGTCAATATTGCAGACAATTCCCTGGCCACTTTCTCTGTGCATGCAACTAGAACCCGCCTCTTCATCAGGTCACATGGCCCACCTGGAGGTCAACAGCAGGTTATTAACATATCTTAAAACAAATGAATCTGTGACATTTTTATTAAAAGTGAATTAGCAAAATACTTCTTTTTTATCCTGATTTTCTTACCCATACTTCTCAAACATTTCTCATCACAAGTGAAAAGAAGTGATTCACTATATCATTTTTGTGTTTGTAAGCGAGGTCTAAATATGGCTTAAATTCAAACTGACATGTATTTGAGGAATTTGCTTCTAGATATTATGTAACATATGTCATATTTGGGATTACACTTTCTTAGTAAAGTACAGAGTCTAGTACATTTGTTGGGTTGAGTCCTATCCGGGATTCGAACCCACACCCTCAGAGTCAGGTACCTAATCGCCAGCACACAAAGTCAGACGCCTAGACCACTCAGCCACCGCGGCTTCCACAAAAATGGAAGTCGGACAACTGGTAGTCTAGACTGTGGACTTTGTGTACCCCTCTGATAAGATATTATGATTCTGCCAAAATATCATAAGGCCAGACCAATTATATTTTTTGTTTTACGGATTTTTGTCCTCAGAAAACCTAAAGGCAGGAGGGAAAAAATTAAAAAATAAACATCACTGGTCAAAATAATTTTCCTTTTAAATACTAACAGTATTTTATTTTTGGCAATTTATGAAGTTTATATGGGGCAAAAAAAATAATTTTGTTTGTAAGTTTACATTTTTGGCCAATAACAACATGAGGATTTTATTTTTTGAGCAGGGAAAATTAACTTTTATTTTCTTTCTTATTCTTGAAAAAATACGACCGGCGGATCCGTAAAACAAGAAATAAAATAGGTCTGGCCTAACTGGGATCTTTTGCCATAAATCCAGCCCCGACCCTCCCTCCATCCACTTCCATCTTACCGTCTGGGTCCATGACGTACGCCCCAGCCTCTTGAGCTATCAACATGCCAGCCACAAAGTCCCAGCAGTGAATGCCGTATTCCACGTAGGCCTCCCCCTGTCCGTCGGCCACACGGCAGAAGTTGATGGCAGCAGATCCGTATGCTCGGATACTGAAACACAGAACATGTCAGTGTTCACAGATATCTCACTACAAGCCAAATATACGTAGATCAATGCTCATGCTGTTGATCAATGGATTGTCTGGTCTAAACTAAGTGTTTTACAGACTGCTGTCACATAGCTGGACTATTGCGAAGTGCAACGTAAAACTAAGCTCACTCACTCACAAGCCAGAGCTATCTCTGAAATCGAATAAGTAGGCCTTCTCAATGAACTGTCTGGATGGGAATGCATTTGAGTCTCCATATACTCATGATTCTGTGAGCTCATCTCAACTAATGTGTGAAAAAGTCTGAACCTACCAGAGATTTTGTGAGCTAGTCTGAACCTACCAGTGATTTTGTGAGAGCTAGTCTGAACCTACCAGAGATTTTGAGAGCTAGTCTGAACCTACCAGAGACTTTGTGAGAGCTAGTCTGAACCTACCAGTGACTTTATGAGGGTAAGTCTGAACCTACCAGAGTCTGAACCTACCAGTGACTTTGTGAGAGCTAGTCTGAACCTACCAGAGATTTTGTGAGAGCTAGTCTGAACCTACCAGAGATTTTGTGAGAGCTAGTCTGAACCTACCAGAGATTTTGTGAGAGCTAGTCTGAACTACCAGAGATTTTGTGACAGCTAGTCTGAACCTACCAGAGAATTTATGAGAGCTAGTCTGAACCTACCAGAGATTGTGTGAGAGCTAGTCTGAACTTCCCCCATGACTGAACTTACTGGTAGTTTTGTGTGAGCTTTTCTCCACCTACCCCTGACTGCGTGAGCTAGTCCAAACCTACCCATGACTGTGTGAGCTAGTCTCCACCTACCCATGACTGTGTGTGACGATAGTATGGATGTTTTTCATCTTGGTGTCCACTACTGTTGGTACCCGGGAACTTCCCCCTTCGTGAATGACAATACTCTGCTTCAGATCTGAAATCAAACATCAATATGAAGGAAAATATTCTGCAGCAAATATCTCACATTGATCAGAATTAGCAGATCATTCTGACCAGCATAGCAAACGGCCAAGTCCCAATGCAAATATTAAAGGCTGTGACATTATAATGTGGACATTAAAACCCTGTTCTTGCCAAAAGCAGTGCCATCTACAACAAAAGGGATGTATTTCTCTCAGGCTATTTCTGTGCATCAATACAATCTGCAAACAAGGGTGATATGTGGTAGTATATTCTATTTGAGCAACAACAAAAAGAAGTTGCGGGCATTTCAAATCACATAAGGTATTAAAGAAACCCTCACTACTGTATTTTCTTCAGTTCAAGTGAGTGAGTGAGTGACTTTAGTTTTACGCCACACTCATCCAACATTCCAGCTATATATGAAGGTGGTTTGTAAATAATCGAGACTGTGACTGGACCAGACAATCCAGTGATCAACAGCATGAGCATCGCAGTCTGTGCAGTTGGGATAGGATGACATGTGTCAAGCAAGCCAGCGAGCCTGACCACCCAATCCCAATAGTCACCTCTTACGACATGCATGGGTTACTGAAGATCACTTCATGGGTAGTGAGTGAGTGAGTTTTAGTTTTACACAGCTTTTAGCAATATTCCAGCAATATCACAGTGGGGGAAATTTAGTTCAAACCTAAATTTCCCAATCAGGGAGAGAAATTGACCACAGACTGTACTGATGAAAGAAAAGAGACATTTGTTTTGCTTAAAACCAACAGATAATTCTTTATGATTGGGCAATGAAATTTTGCTCATGGTTCCACTGAATGTCCTTGAATACAAATCAATTGTTTCACAACCTCTCCCTGTGGAGACCCGTGAAGATCCGGGGTAGAATAGGTCTTCAGCAACCCATGTGCTTGCCATAAAAAGGCGACTATCTTGTCGTAAGAGGCGACTAACGGGATCGGGTGGTCAGTTTCGCTGACTTGGTTGTCACATGTCATCGCAGATCCCAATCATGCGTTGATGACTCGATTGTCTGGTCCAGACTCGATTATTTACAGACCGCCGCCATATAGCTGGAATATTGCTGAGTGTGGCGTAAAACTAAACTCACTCACTCACTCTCCCTGTGGTATGTCTGCCATAAAGACACTTAGGGGAGGTAACTCCATTTTACGTTCGAAGCACATCATGTGCATGAACCTCACATGTGACTGAGAGTGTGTGCACTGGGAAACGGTCAGACATCTTAACCATACATATATCGGGCATACTGTAACTAGTCCTGAATACATATCTGAGTGAGTGAGTGAGTTTAGTTTTACTCCTCTTTCAGCAATATTCCAACAACATCACAGTCTGGGACACCAGAAATTGGCTCACACACAGTATCCATGTGGGGAATCGAACCTGGGCCCCTTTTCACAAAGCTCTCGTAACGCATCGACTATCGTAAGTCAATGTTACAGTATAGGAGGTACGAATGCTATGAGAAAAGTTATAAGATCTTAGGCTTACAAGAGCTTGGTGAAACAGAGCCCTGGCTTTTCAGTGTGACGACTGAACGCTTTGACCAGTAGGTTAATACATACAGTCGAACCCGTTTATCCAGACATCTTGGTTACACTTGCGAATCGTCCAGTTAACTGGATCAAACAAGCAAAACGTATTGACGATGTATATTGAAATCTTATTCATGTATGTACGTGTATCTCAATAAATCAGGGAGGAAGGAACTGTACAGTGACATTAGTCAGTTGAACGTTTGGGTGCAGTCACACGACATTTGTGTTTAGCAGGCTGATTTGCCATTATGCCCAATACCTGTCTACAGAAATGTGACGAGACATTATATACAGTACAATTACAATGTAGTTAATCCTAATCCTAATTAGCATGTGTTTTCGTTACTGATGAGATGTTCTCATGAGAAGTGACCCGCGTCCCTAGTGTTTTGATGGGTAACTAATCAATTCACTTCAAACGCCTGCCGAGAGAGATTAACAATGAATACACTTAGTCGTGCGGTAAACATACACATGCACACGTACATGCATACAGATCTTTCCATCCGGATAACAGGATCATTTTTCAATAGAAATCATTGGGAATGGTTTGAAAATTCTCCGTCCGGGTCAGTAAGCACAGGGTCTGGCAAAGCGAGTACAATTACTGAAGGTTAGTTTCGTTTCACAAAAAAATCATCCGGAAGGCGGGGTTTCCGGATATACGGGGTTTGACTGTATCTGAACCCATATGCATCTTGTGATACTACAGATCCACCACTCACCTTCCACACTGCTTACAGCAGCTTCCTTCCATTACAGTGTGACCCATGACCTTTCATGCTGGTGTACATAATGTCAAGGACAGGTATGTAGACCACACCCACTATCACCTGCCAAAATGATAAATGAATTCACTTTTTTATAGATAGTAAAAATCAAGCACTTCAATGAGAGTAGACCTAAGTCTATCAAAGACCAGAAAATATATTCCCTGTTTTTGGAAAACAAGCCTGTCCTTGCCTGTTGAACATGTTCAACAAAATATGCATATTTTGGTTTTATTAAAAATATTTATCGATTTTTAGAAATTAACCTCAAACCAATCCAGAGAACTATTCGGTTATTTTTCATACTCTGTCAAAAAAGGGATTAAATTGTTCTGGCCCCAAACGTGGAAACTCGACTCTATTAAGAAGTGAGTGAGTGTTTTACAATGCAGTCATCAGTAGGGCTGTGCAATATTACCGGTAAACGATTATCGCGATATGGTTCAGATTCTGCAATATATTGGGTCATCCAGAGTTAGCTCCCTTTGAATTATCTGCCCTTGATTTCCATAGCAACAAAATGTGCGCTAAAAGTGCCAGATATACTTTTGTTTCTTTTCTGTTTCATGTAACATTGTACAAGTGGAAGTGTCTTTATAAGTGGCTCCAAAAGTGCCAAATATTCTACCAAATGCTTTAAGTTTTGGGGTTTGAATGGTTTCATATGTGACGTTTTGGAGGAATTAAGTGGCCTTTAATAGACCAATCTTTTAAGAAAAGCAAGAGTAATGGATATCAACTTCTTGTTGGTAATAACACAACGTTTTGGAGTATATGCTTGCTCCTTCATCAAAAGACGTTAAAATATGGTACTTGTTGGTCGCTGCCTGGCGCTCGGCATTCATGGGTACAACAAGGACTGGTCGGCTCGGAGTCAGTATAATGTGTCTGAGTGGGGTATTCATGCTTCACTGCGGCATGGTATCTCAGTGGGCTAGCACTATAACACCAGCTTCAGTCTGGGCCTAGTACAAGCAGCCGCACATACACATACACACGCATGCACATCGTCATATGAGCGAAATATTCTCAAGCACGACATAAAACCCAATTTCACCTCATCTCACCTCACATGAATATTCACAATAAAGAAGTTGACATCCATAAACCTTGCTTTTCTTATGCATTCCACTTCTAAATGCCCTTCAAAGATTTGACCAATCTTTTATTTGGACTTAAAAGTAGAGCTACTGGCTCTGAGTGACCATTTCACAATTCACATTATTTTGTAATATTGTTTTGTTTCATAATGGGACATATGTTATCAATTTACGATAAAGGCCAAAGTCTTATAAATCTTGTAGGACTGTATAATGACATTCTAGTCACGGATCCTAGTTATTGGAAGTCACATGAGATTTTAAGCTCAAGTAGTTCACCTAATCATGTTTTTGTTTCATTTTACAAAAGTTCATGTTAACACATGTTTATATTGGAGTTAAATCTGAATGAATCACTGACAAACAGTAACAATAATTACATGCTGCATTGAAGTGCATTCTGTTGAAGCAAACAACACTGACCATGAGAATCATGTTATATTATTACCTTTATCATTATGTTCGCAAAACTTTGTTGCAATAGAGTTACTTCAATGAAACATTCCATGTTAAGGCTCTATATCATTTATCTGTACACCACTGGCATACACCCATACACAATGGGGACAGGGAGCCTGAAAGTATTGTGTAACAGCACAATGTCGCACACAGAGAGCTATTATGAATTTATGATGTACGCACTTGGGCAGAATCCTTCCAGTCAATATATCACAATATGTATTGCAATATCTCTTGAATTATTGCAATATATCGCAATATGAGAATCAGGGCAATATCCAGACCTAGTCATCAGTATTCAAGCCATACAACAGCAGCTTCTAACACAGGTCAGAGCAAAACAAACAAGTGGCTGATAAAATGAGAATATCCCATGGTGTTATCGTGCAGTTACACATCAGACATATTGTCCACTCAATCCTCATTTTGTAAGCTAGACAAACCAGTAACACTTGGCATGATTATCTCACAAGGTGCCACCAGACATATTGTCCACTCAATCCTCATTTTGTAAGACATATTGCATCCTCTCACAAGACATATTGTCCACTCAATCCTCATTTTGTAAGCTAGACAAACCAGTAACACTTAGCATGATTATCTCACAAGGTGCCACCAGACATATTGTCCACTCAATCCTCATTTTGTAAGCTAGACAAACCAGTAACACTTAGCATGATTATCTCACAAGGTGCCACCAGACATATTGTCCACTCAATCCTCATTTTGTAAGCTAGACAAACCAGTAACACTTAGCATGATTATCTCACAAGGTGCCATCAGACATATTGTCCACTCAATCCTCATTTTGTAAGCTAGACAAACCAGTAACACTTAGCATGATTATCTCACAAGGTGCCACCAGACATATTGTCCACTCAATCCTCATTTTGTAAGCTAGACAAACCAGTAACACTTAGCATGATTATCTCACAAGGTGCCACCAGACATATTGTCCACTCAATCCTCATTTTGTAAGCTAGACAAACCAGTAACACATAGCATGATTATCTCACAAGGTGCCATGACATTATCCCATTTTGTAAGCTAGACAAACCAGTAACATAGCTGATTATCTCTTAGCAGACATATTATTGTCCACTCAATCCTCATTTTGTAAGCTAGACAAACCAGTAACACTTAGCATGATTATCTCACAAGGTGCCACCAGACATATTGTCCACTCAATCCTCATTTTGTAAGCTAGACAAACCAGTAACACTTAGCATGATTATCTCACAAAACCAGTAACACATAGCATGATTATGCCACCAGACATATTGTCCACTCAATCCTCATTTTGTAAGCTAGACAAACCAGTAACACATAGCATGATTATCTCACAAGGTGCCACCAGACATATTGTCCACTCAATCCTCATTTTGTAAGCTAGACAAACCAGTAACACATAGCATGATTATCTCACAAGGTGCCACCTTACAATGACACAAGTCAGACATATTGTTAACTCAATCTGTAGTTAGTATTGATCCTACCTCCTTATTAGCTGTCAATCCCATGGAATATGATACTTCAGGAATGCTATTTTCAGAAAAGAAAAGAAATACATAAAATAAAGCAACAGTAAACTTTGATGCTTTAAGGCACAATGTCACGACAATATTTTGGCCTATATTTTATATATTGGGGGCATATGCACTCACTTTAGCTTCCTATTGATGCAATAAAAGACTTATTATCCCTTACAACTTGCCTGAAATCGATAATTGAAACTTCGAGGCGAACAGCTTCCAAACAGATAACACTAGCCATATATGGAATGTAAACAATTGCTTCGTATATCGAAAACTGTCGCACACGGTGTTGTCAGTGTTTGCCGAACTGGTTTCAATCACAAGTTGCGTTATAGGATATTCGTAAAGAGTGCTCCAAGGGACATAACTCTATGGGGTTCGGCCCGGTAGAGGGCGAGAGAGTCAATTTAATGCAAAGTTGCATTGATTCATTCGAACATTCTAATTTAATATTGTAATCTAAATATGTAATTATTTTTGGAATATATTATATGGTAGCTTCCCTGAGGGCTGATAGTATTATCGAGAGAAATGCATTATGTATTTTTAGTGAAATATGGTATGACATTGTGCCTTTAAGTCAGTGATGATAATGACTTTTGTTTGTCATATATATAATACAAAACAAACTTCAGGAACACACATAAACTTTGTTTTACATGTTATGTTTTCCTGACAGCTGACCTGTTATAGACGTTAAATCTCCACAATGGTATTGGTTGGTTGGTTTGTCGCACTCAGCAATATTCTAGCTACATAGCGGCAGTCTGTAAATAATCAAGTCTGGACCAGACAATCCAGTGATCAACAGCATGAACATCGATCTACACAACTGGGATACGATGACATGTGTCAACCAAGTCAGCGAGTGTGATACGACAAGCATGGGTTGCTGAAGATCAATTTTAACCCGGATCTTCACGGGTCTGCAGTGGTGGAGTTTCAGTTGTATGAAGGCGTCTGCAGAGCCTTTTTCGAACAAACGCATTCCGCAATATTCTAGCTATGTGACGTATGTAAATATTTGTGAACAGACGACCCAGTGAATGACCTCATAAACATCGATTTACGCAACAGGGATAGGGCAACCCAGTCAACGATCCCGTTTGGCGCATCTTAGATGCATGGGGGCACCCATGAAGATCCTGGTTAGAACTGGAATTTGCAACCAATGCTTGTCGCAAGAAGCGGCAAACGGGACCGGGTGCTCAGGCTCCCTGACATGATTGACACATGTTATTGTATCCCAAACGGATAAATTGATGCTCATGATGTTGATCACTGGAGTATCTGGTCCAGACAGACCGCTGCCAAATAGCTGGAATTTTGCTGAGTGCGGGGTTAAACAACAAACAAACAGATTATGGATTGCTGAAGATCAATTCCAAAACAGGTCTTAAATTCAGTGAAAATAACTGTGCACGGTTCTATGAGCCTGACCACCCAATCCCGTGAGTCGCCTCTTACAACAAGCATGGGTTGCTGAAGATCAATTCTAACCCAGATCTTCAAGGGCCCTGCAAAGGTATTGCTTTCAAGTACAATTATTGAAATCCAATATGACTTGATCCCCTTAAAAGCAGAAAACTCTTCCCTAAATTCTCTCTGGTCTCATAAACTACCTATGTACAAAATTGGTGGTTCCATCTATAGGATCGACAATCCACGTCAGATCATCTGTGAAGTCACATGGGATGTCGTTGACTGTTGACTCCTCACCAATAAACCTAAAACATGAAAGTGAACAACAATAAACAACTGGTAAACAGAATCCTCTTCTGATAACAGCCCCCCAATAACAGTGCATCAATGCCCAGCAACTGTTGCAAACTGACAGAAAAACTACATGCATCTTCAGATTCGAGGACTTAGAGGAGTATTTGGTGAAATTGGATTTTCGAATGACATGGTTAGATTGGAGGTTTTCAAATGAAAAGAATTCCTGACACTGAAATTCGGAGATGAACCATCATAAACAGACTGTGTTTTGATATTTGTGTTCATATAATTGTAGATTAGTAACCTTTTATTTAAATTTGGAACAGACAAATTTAGCTATGACAACAGCACTATTGATGAAATCTTCATCAATACTTTTGAAAACTATGAATTTCAAACCATCTTGTGAACTTGTCAAGAGCATAACCAATCTGTCTTGAATGTGAGAAATGTGACTTTCTTTTCTCACATCTAATATTGCAGGCCATTGCAAGTATGTCTTCCAAATATGCATCATAATAGGAAAGTATGACAAAGTTGCATTTTTGAAAACCTGCATCAACCATTGGTTCTTGTAACTGCCATTACGTGCCTTTGATCTTTGTTACCGAATTCTTGTTTGTACACTACAGAGACTAATGGACCGATCAGAAAGTACAAACCAGATTCAAGTAACAAGAAGAACAACATGGCGGCCAGTCCCATTGACTACACCAGCTAGTGTTTGTCAGAAATTACAATACTTTAGAGCTAACTGACACCCAATAGAATACAAAAACAATTTGCTGGGATTGATGCCTTCATGTCCTGGCAGTGGCTTTGGTGTCTAAGAAATTTGAGTTACCTCCCTTATATGATTTCAATTTGGGACATTTTCAAGACATTTGGTGCCAAATATTGGCATCTGAGCTGCTCTACATAAATCCTTTGTATTTATTAACTCCACTCACAACAAATAAATAGTAACATATTGTTTCAGATCTTCATGTAGACAGATATTGCATCAGAGTAAATATGCCAGGTAAAGACACTGATATCACCTACTTGTGTGACGGGTATCTTTCCTTGATGTATTCAATCACCCATTTTTCCACCGCCTGGTCAGTTTCCGTCACAAGATCAGCATTGCTCTGTTTTGTTTCCACATTTTTCTTCTTTGAAAATCCATCTTTTATCATCTGTTGAAACACAATTATATCAATGCTGACGTTGTAACACTTGAACTGACAAGGATTGACTGCTAATTTTACTTTTCTTAAAATGTGTAATAAATGTGTAATGAACTGTACTGCCATTCCTTTTGGTATTAAGTTTGATTGTAATATCTGGTGCAATGAAATATCTTTTGTACAATTTTTATAAAGTTTACTGTACTATGAGTAGATGTGTATTGTGGCTGTCTGACAATAAACGAAAATGTGTCTGTTATCTTGTTTCTTTTATTTATTCGCGCCACTGGTCTTTACAGTATTTGTGTCATGTAGTCTACTTCGAAACTTCACTGCAATGTAGCGAATGATTAACTGCAAGATAAGTAAATGCACCGTAGGAACGCCACAATAATATCATCCATAAAACTTATTCAAATAGCTTTAACAACTCAATTTTACTGAAGCTTTATGCATACCGTTTTGTATAAACAGACACCCGACCCGTTGTCCGCTTTTCTTGTGCAAAACAATAATAGAGTTACCTCCCTTGGTTACATTTAAAGCTAGCTGCACTTCGCGATCTACATCTTTACTAGAAAAGGATAAGTTGTCACAATTCCATTCATGTCATGTCAACCTAATGTAGCCAAAAAGGACAAAGTGACGTAGGACTCACGCCGTATGTTTAAACCAGCGAGCACAGGTAAAGTGCTGACTAAGTTAAACACCATGATAAGTGTTGTTACATGGCAGTGTTATGCAATGTGTAACAATGTTCCAAGGGTACTTTGTATCTGTTGACACTGCTCTATATTTAGACTTGTGCTATATTGTAGGCAGAGTTCTGGAGTGAGTGAGTGAGTTAAGTTTTACACCGCTTTTAGCAATATTTCAGCAATATCATGGCAGAGGACACCAGAAATGGGCTTCACACATTGTACCCATGTGGGGAATCGAACATGTGTCTTCGGCGTGACGAGCAAACACTTTATCCACTAGGCTACCCCACCGCCCACTGTATAGACTGATGCAGAGAAGTTTGTAGAAAGATCTCGAATCTTTTTTTGTTTGTTTAGGTTCCGTATTTTCTCCAATAAGCACCCTTGCACATATTTTATCAATGGACCTCCAGAAGCTGTGCTTATTAGAGGTCCGGCACTTTTTCGCTTACTGGGTGTATTTTCCGTAATTGTTAGTGAGCTGCTTTACCCCGGCGCTTATTAGAGGAAGTACAGTATATGTGGCGAGTTAACTCTAGCCTCTGATCTCAAATTACATGTCAAGTTAAAAGATGACAAGCAATTATATGGAGATCATTATACCCTGTTTTGGCCTATTTTGCAAGTTGGGTTACTGTTGCTGAGAGGTGAGCATTACCATCACTTCACCAACCAAACTTCAAATGGTTTCCCATGGTTTTACACAATGCAGAATTGTGCATCCTGTGTGCATAAATCACATAAATTGACATGCAGAGAATGGATGCCTTCAGCATGATGAGCGGACACTTTAACCACTAGGCTACCACGCCGCCCGTGTGGAAGTTATCATCACCTAACTCTAACACTGCTTTGTACAACAGTGAGTGAGTGAGTGAGTTTAGTTTAACGCAACACTCAGAAATATTCCAGTTATATGGCGGCGGTCTGTACATAATCGAGTCTGGACCAGACAATCCAGTGATCAACAACATGAGCATCGATCTGCGCAATTGGGAACCAATGACATGATCAACAACATGAGCATCGATCTGCGCAATTGGGCACCGATGACATGTGTCAACCAAGTCAGCGGTCCCGTTAGTCGCCTCTGACGACAAGCATGGGTTACTGAAGGCCAATGTTCTAACCCGGACCTTCATGATTCTTGTGCAACAGTACCCTGATCCCAACTGAATACTAACCTCCCCAGCCTTCTTCGCTACTTCCACTGCAAAATCCAAGAATTCCTGCAGTTGCTGAGAGCTGACTTGTACAGACATGATGGAGTGGTGACCAGTTTAGGATTTGAAGAAATGATGTCAAACTGAAAAGTAAAAAATTTCAATAGATGACATGAAAAATATTGTGCATAAAACTGACCATCAAATATCAAATACAGTAACGTACAATTATATGTTTGGTTTGTTAGTTGTTTAAGGCCGCACTCAGCAATATTCCAGCTATATGGCGGTGATCTGTAAATATTCGAGGTTTGGGCCTGTGATCAACAGCATGAACATCGATCTACACGGTTACAACGAACTCAAAGGATTGAAAACACAGAAAAAGATACAAACACCTCAAAAGTCAGTACCTCCTGCTACCATGGTTACAGCAAGTCATCATTTACATTCTGCTTGTCATGTTGCTAATTAGTACATACTTAACACTCAGACTTGATTCTTTCATGTTATATTTATATATGTAAGTACATATAGAGAATACTAAACGATGTTCCGTGTAATACCAATCGCGAGTTTCATAAATATGGTATTACACAGGACATTGTTTAGTACGGTATTTAATTTATTACTCTTCCAACATTAGCAAAATAATATCTCAGAATTCAACTAACAGAACGAGTGCATTATGCCGTCATAACACGGGTCACGCGTATGAATACATTTCATTTATGATTGTCAATGTTATTTTATTTAATTTGATTTTTTTTAAATAAACAAGGGGGTATGAAAAATGGAACAAATGACCAGTTGAAACGTCTTTCCTAAGAATTCCATGAGTGCATTACACTTGCACAACTGTGTCACGTGTGTCATGTAACAGAGTGCAAATAGTTCCGGCAGCACGAGGTGTTATTTCACAATGTGTAATAACATTGTAGATATAATAAACGGTGATATCTTCAATGGGTGAGTAATTAATACTGGTAACACATGGTATGGTTATGTCAATGAGACTGCCTGGCATCATATAGCTGGAACATTGCCAGGTATTGCGCCATTCAACAAAGAAACAAATATGATGTTTCTTGTTCCATATATAAATCTTAACGTGTCATACATGATGAAATCAATATCATATTCAAAGGTGAAAGGATAAGCAGACCAATTTCTACAACTTCCTGTTTAAGCCATGCCCCAAACTCTCCTACCACATGTATCTGCTCTAAGATCTGCAGATAAATATTTACTGACAAATTCCACGTCGAAAATTCAAATCCTTTGGTCTCCAATCATTCAGCTATGGAGCTCCAAGACTCTGGAACCAACTACCACTTGAGCTAAGGCTTTCTGTCTCTATTCAAGCTTTCCGAAGTTCTATAAAAACCTTCCTTTTTAGAAAATATATAAAAGCCTAATATAACTCTTCAGCCAATCTATTCAAAGGGGCGTACATCAGACCATATTACCCGAGGGAGAAGTTTACAACGTATTTATCTTACAGCCATGTTAAATGTACAAAATATCATTTTATTTAATTTGAAGATCCGACTAGATGACACGTAAACTAAATGGCATCTGCCTCTCGACTGGATTTTTAAAATTAGTGAAACATATTCTGACAAGCATAAAACTACTATAGCAAGAAGACAAAGTCATCAATATCCCCAGCAATGGCAAAATACTCTTCATGATTATGTCTACGAGTTATGATTATGTCAAATATTTAGGTGTGTATACAGAAAAGTGGAAGGAGAGTATTGAAAGGTTTTTAAAGTTCTGCTCCAGAAAGGAGCACTATCACCAATTTCAGGCTATGTCAAACTTGTTGCCATGGAAATGCCAAAAATATTTTATTCAGAATTCCCAAACTACCAAAAGGCACCAGTACACCACCAGATCTATCTATGTGCCAGGTTTGGTGAAGAAACATTGAACGGTTTTAGAGTTGAGCTCCGGAAAAGTGCACTACCACTAATTTCTGTTTTAGTCAAACTTGTTGCCATGGAAATGCCAAAAATATTTTATTCAGAATTCCCAAACTACCAAAAGGCACCAGTACACCACCAGATCTATCTATGTGCCAAGTTTGGTGAAGAAATATTGAACGGTTTTAGAGTTGAGCTCCGGAAAAGTGTACTACCACCAATTTCAGGCTAAGTCAAAACTTGTTGCCACGGAAACGCCAAAAATATTTTATTCAGAATTCCAAAACTACCAAAAGGCACCTGTACACCACCAGATCTATCTATGTGCCAAGTTTGGTGAAGAAATAGTGAACGGTTTTTAAGTTCTGCTCCAGAAAAGAGCACTACCACTAATTTCAGTCTAAGTCGAACTTGTTGCAATGGAAATGCCAAAAATATTTTATTCAGAATTCCAAAACTACCAAAGGGCACCAGTACACCACCAGATCTATCTATGTGCCAGGTTTGGTGAAGAAACATTGAACGGTTTTAGAGTTGAGCTCCGGAAAAGTGCACTACCACTAATTTCTGTTTTAGTCAAACTTGTTGCCATGGAAATGCCAAAAATATTTTATTCAGAATTCCCAAACTACCAAAAGGCACCAGTACACCACCAGATCTATCTATGTGCCAAGTTTGGTGAAGAAATATTGAACGGTTTTAGAGTTGAGCTCCGGAAAAGTGTACTACCACCAATTTCAGGCTAAGTCAAAACTTGTTGCCACGGAAACGCCAAAAATATTTTATTCAGAATTCCAAAACTACCAAAAGGCACCTGTACACCACCAGATCTATCTATGTGCCAAGTTTGGTGAAGAAATAGTGAACGGTTTTTAAGTTCTGCTCCAGAAAAGAGCACTACCACTAATTTCAGTCTAAGTCGAACTTGTTGCAATGGAAATGCCAAAAATATTTTATTCAGAATTCCAAAACTACCAAAGGGCACCGGTACACCATCAGGTCAATCTGTGTGCCAAGTTTGGTAAAGAAATAGTGAAGGGTTTTAGAGTTCAGCTCCGGAAAAGTGTACTACCACCAATTTCAGGGTAAGTCAAAACTTATTGCCACAGAAACGCCAAAAATATTTTATTCAGAATTCCAAAACTACCAAAAGGCACCAGTACAACACCAGATCTATCTATGTGCCAAGTTTGGTGAAGAAATATAGAACGGTTTTAGAGTTCTGCTCCGGAAAAGACAAATGTGCACGGACGGACGCATGGACGCACGGACAGAGTCCATTTTAATACCCCCATAAAACACGTTGCGGGGGATAATAAGGGTAAATTATGTCTAAGTTCAGTGTGCAAATGATTCAATGCATAAAATAGTTTAAATAAAGCAGTGAAAGTTGGTAAAATAAATGTGTACAAAGTGAACTCAAAACAGCTAATCGCAAGGTTTTCAAACTCTGTGCACTGCATTAGGCATGTTATGATGTCATAAGATTGTTAGCGATAGAGCTTCTAGAGGGAGAGTTTGGCAGTTACCGTGGCAACAGGTAATATTTTTTCCAGTTGTTAACCTACTGGGAGGGTGACACAGAAACTTATTAAAGCATCATTGCCCAATGAAATTAAAGTATTTTACATGAAGGTGAGGTGAAATTGGGTTTAACGTTGTGCTTGAGAATATTTCGCTCATATGACGACGTGCATGCGTGTGTATGTGCGGCTGCTTGTACTAGCCCAGACTGAAGCTGGTTTTATAGTGCTAGCCCACTGAGATACCATGCTGCAGTGAAGCATGAATACCCCACTCAGACACATTATACTGACTCTGAGCCGACCAGTCCTTGTTGTACCCATTAATGCCGAGCGCCAGGCAGGGACCAACAAGTACCACATTTTAACGTCTTTTGGTATGACGCGGTCGGGGATCGAACCCGCGACCTTCCGCTCTCCGGGCGGACGCTCTAACCACTACACCACAGAGGCGGTCCTTACATGAAGGTAAGATAATATATGCTAAAGTGCTGAGACATTATTACCCTGGTTAACTTAAGCTGCCTGTGAGGCGCTAGAAGGTTAACATTCATATGACTTATCCCACCGGGTACCCATTCATAGCTGGGTGAACAGAGTCAATTTTGATTAAGATGGGACCACATGTGTCCCGTGTGCTTCGTTGTGGGGCAGGACTTAAGTTCTAAAAACTCTCAGGACTCAGGCTGCCGAACACTGTCACCCATCCAAGGACTTTTCTGTTGCTTAACTTCACCTGATTTGTCACATGGGTTTTATGCACAGGTCCACACACCACATGCCACAGCCTTGCAACGGTTTATATGAAAATATTGATTGGTCATTGTATAACTTTAATATTTCATGAGGTCGTACAAATATGAAAACTATTGACAGATGATTCTATAATCAATTACATATTAGATTCATGTTTGTAATATACGCAAAATAAACCTTGACCCAATGGTCAAACACCCATCAAATTAAATATGGCTGTTACCAACCCTATATCATAATAACAAGCTTTCATGGAAATTAAATATTTAATATATGGGTTACATATGGGACAACGTGGAGGACAGACCCTGAGGTAGCTAAAATCATAAATCAGATGTGTATATTCAGAGTGCGTGGAGAAGTGTATATTCAATGTGTGAAATAGTTTCCAAATCTTGCAAGCCAGTCAGGCTAGCTATGCCTGAAAGTTACTAGTCCACAGAAAATTCACTAGTCCAAATTAGTCATCATTAAGCTGCTAATATGATGATTACTTTTATCAGGCCATAATCTTGCATAATTTAAGAGTGTATTTTAATTCGGAGAGAGTGATATACTTACAAAATGACCCTATGAAAATTCACTAGCCAGTTGGGCCAGTGATTGTGGAGATTGACTGGCCTGAATGGATTTTTACTAGCCACTGGCTCGAAATGGAAAGTCCCATTAACACTTATTAACACTTTCAGTCGAGCAACATCTCTTCTGGTTTACAGAATTTTATCTTATATGCGGTTAAAACACAAATTCCTCTGCATCTAGCCACTGATATTTAATACAAGAGCTATATGCAGACACATATGGGTTTACAACATCATGCCCACTCCAGTACTATACAAAATCAGTTGAGATTCCTATGTAATTAGCTACCAAACAACACTTATAAGTGTAAAACATCTCACAGCTCAGAATAAAATACACAAATGCAGTGCAATTTTAAACAGTTAGTTCCATGAAGTTCAACATATGTTATATTGGGGATTAAACTTTCTTAGTAAAGCATAGATGCAAGTACTTGTTTGCAAGTACAGGGCTTTTTTTGTCTTTTTAGTAACGGTACTTCAATGGAGTTATCAACAAAATTGAAACAGTAAACATGCCCCTACATATTTGAGATTAACAAGAACATGGACAAGCTTAACCAATAAACACATAACACTGTGTATCAGTAAAACTCATTTTAACTCTCTATCTAACCTTTCATCAACAAAATTCCTGTGATTTAAGAAACGGAGCAGTGGGATAGACAATCAACACGAACAACTGTGTTAGTCCGAGACTAGTGAAAGCCTACATGGACTCTTGCTTTTTCCTGAATGTATATAGTTACTTAACATAACCATCAGTATGAAATGAGCTGCATGCTAGTTGGATATCATGGGATCAAACTTCCCACTGACCCCCGGAATTGTGAATATTTTCTATTCAGGCAAGCAAACCTTGCTTTCACGACTTGGTTAAGTCGATCACTACAAGTTATGGAAACACAGCACATAATCATCACATTCATTATTGTCATCAGAGACCATATAATATGGTCTCTGTTGTCATGCTGGTAAAATATGAGGTAATAAATTAGGCCTTCATTTTACAAAGCCACATGATAATGAATACATGTTTTAAAAAATACCATGCACAAAAGGAAAATTGATTAATAAATGAATTAGATATCTGAATATCTCTCAAACATAAAGACATTGATAGAGGTAATGAAGATTTTTTATGGTATCGGTCCTGTACATTGGATATATGGGACAACCTGAAGGACATTCCCCTGGCCAGACCTCGAGGTAGCTAAAATTATAAATCAGATGTTTACAACCGTAAGCTTCTGAAACTTGTCAAAGGCTTTGGTCTTATCTCCATCTTTGACTCTTTCACAACAAAACGACACGATTGGTGTCATACCAAACTGACTTTTACAATAAGGACCTTAATAAAATGACATTGACCATATTAACTGGTAGGTGTTGTCCCATAGCTGTTCCGATCCTCGTTTCTATCTTATGAGCACGTGTATCACATCTGAGCGGATACTAATCGTCTAATGTCTGAATCAGTGAATGATGATTCCTAATCAGGAAGTCTATTTCTCAAATACAGTCTCGGAATCTTTTTACCATACGAAACACGCAAAACCAAACTGACATACTAAGTATATTTCGATCGCCATTTTGAGTATTTTAATACAATAATTCATACACACATTGGAAACTACTCACCTTATACAACTGACAGTCAACCTCAGCGAGCTCTTGCATGAAACAATTTAGAGTGAGCTCCCTTTAAAAGTTTATACTCCGTGCCAGTGCATGCGCCAACAGTCGCTGTAAGGAGACGAAATATTACACCAAAGGTTGGTTCGGACAGCGCTCGATTTTGTGGCAAGCCGGGTTATTTCACATTTAATTCGAAATTACTCGTATCGTAAATTGTTTAAAGATACCAATGTAATATTTTGGGGTTTTCTTTCAGATAACAATAAATATTAATTGATATATCACCAAAACATGATTAATAAAACATACCATCATACAATACACAATAATATTTACATTTATTACCTACGAGGGCGAAAATATCGGGGTTCATATTTTTCATACCATGTCCTAGGGCAAAATATCACTTTGTCATGGTGACGTGACGTCATTAACAATGCTATGACGTCACGTTTCTTCTGTGACGTTGCGTTCTACATGCGGCGACGGCGGGTAGCCAGCCTATGTTTGAAAGTAGATTTGGGTTTATTTTCCTCAATTTGACGACTTCGGCAATAAACCGAATATTATATTCGTGCCCATATCATACTATGTTTACGACACGAGGGCCTAAATGTTGGTATTTCCCGAGCGAGAGCGAGGGATATACCGTCATTTAGGCACGAGTTTTATACGAGTCATGGGCACTCATATAATATCCTCTATTTATTACTCACCCGTTGAAGATAGCACTGTTTAATAAGTGTACAATGTTATTATACATTGTGTAATAACATCGCGTGATGCCGGACGTATGACGTCATAATGTTTTACAGTTATGACATCACAATGCTAATACCTTTGTCACAATGGTATTAGACCTTGCTCAACTCGCGGAACTGTAGGCAGTTTCTATCAATATATGTTGGTGAGTAATAAACAGAATACTAAACTCGTTTCCGTGAAATACCATTTTATAAAACTTATGAAAGATTCGTTAACTCGTTTAATAAAAATGGTATTACACGGAAGGTCGTTTAGTATCCTCTATATCTTAAATTCAATAAAAGGTATCTTGACAGACTGGTGTTGAAGTAAAATTCAAGATATCACCATATCTGATCAGCATGGCTGGGTATGCTGCTCAATGGTAGAAATCCCTAAGGGGCCGTTCATAATTTATGGCTAGGGAGGTGATGATGATTTTTATTGAGAGGTATGTACAATGTGAATGACCCCCCACCTCCCCTTCCCATAATTTCTAAGCCTAATTGTAAACATGTATTTATGTACAAAATTGTTGAACCTCCCCCAGTACGTGTATACAAAATTGATGACCCCACCCCAAATCATCATTTCCCTTCTTTCTTCCCCTAAAAAATAGCCTTAAATTAAGAACGGTCCCTAATTTCGAAAAATTGTGATAAAGGCTTGCCATATACTTGCCTGCCTCTCAGTCGCTGTACCATATTATCACTTTAGTTTAAAAGTTTATTACAGGTTCACTCCCAAAAGACAGACCTCCCATAAGACAGACTCAATGAGTACATTAATTAGTTGGGTTTAGTCTCTATTCGCCTACATGTCAATTCGCCTACATCCCATTTCGCATACAAAAAAAATGTAGACTAATTGGGATAAGAAAATGCACCCCTACAATGAACCTGACTCACTAAGATAATGCTGGAAATGCTTGGAAAATGCTTTTTGGCTTCAATATCAATATGATGAATTTGACACAAGATAAAAGCAGATATATGATACATGTACGACTCTACCTAGGTGGATATTAAAGCTCAGATGAAAAAATGCACTTGAGGGGTGACTTCACAGGAGGAAATTTTGACGTTTTAACAACATTCGTAAATATTCTAAGTACAAACTGTAGTTTTGAAATACAGACTATGATTAATCATATAGCCTCAACTAATTAAATTACATAAATGATTGTCAAAAGTTTTTGTTTTTTTAACATCTATATGTGAAAAAGATGGAACTCTTGTAGTAGTTATATATTTAAAATAATTACGTAAAAAAGTCTTCATTCAAATTGCATAGATATTCTTGTTCACCCATAGAAGTTTCACTTCGTGTATGAGCACTGAAATGGCAACATGCTACTTGATATATCTGCAGAACAATTAATTTCAAATTTATACCAGTATTTCATACTGGAGAAACAAAGGGGGAAACCTCTCGTCAGCTATGACAGGGTTTACTATAGAATGTGTAAAGCCCCTAATTTGACATATAGTCAGGTTTACAAACTTGTAAACAAATCAGTTACCTCAGGGGTCGTGTCAAAATCAAAACCAGGTAGGAAACACAAACTGGATAGCTTTGATAAGTGTGTCATACGCCGTGCAGTTTATAAACTGTATGAAAGCAAAATCCCACCGACGTGTGCTAAAATACAAGATGAGATCCAAGATACAATAAATGTCTCGAAAACAACACTTATTGTAGCTCTGGTAGAAATGGGGTTCAGGTACACCAAAAGGGGAGATGACAGAACTGAGTTTAGAGAAAAGTACTCAATCCTGTCCATGCGATCAGCTTATCTCAGAACAGTTGAAAAATACCGCAATTTGGGGTTTCAAATTATATACCTTGATGAAACCTGGTGTAATCAAAATCACTCAACCGATAGGAAGTGGCTTCCTTCAGATGTTCTAAGGCACCAGTGTTACCATCAGGCAAAGGTAGACGCCTGATCATCTTGCATGCTGGTACCCGTAGCAAGGGACTGATTGGGGGTTGTGACTTTGTTTTTGAGGCCAAGAAATCTGATGGTGATTACAATTGCGAAATGAATGGGCAGGTATTTTTGGATTGGTTCGAAGATCAGCCTTTACCGCAGCTGGACGAACCAAGCGTTATCATTTTGGATAATGCCAGTTACTATAACCTGCGTGTCCCTGGTACCATCACACCCACATCGTTAGACGAGGAAGAATGTTTAGCCTAAGTTTCACTTCGCGAGCGGCTTGCTTCTGGGAGAAGATCACGCCTTCAGTTCCTTGGCGCGGCTGGTGACCTTATGAAGTTGAAGTGAGAATGGACATCCGTACAAGTAAACCTCCTTAACACTATTGTGATATGATGTGCATATCGTTGTGATCGTAAAGTGACAAATAACAAAATAAATAAATAACAGACAAATAACAGAAATACATTTTTTAATAAACTGTCTTTTTGTCCTTCAACTACTTCAACTAGCAGAGTCCACTTTTAGATCATAGGGGTGCCACTAGTTTATCATTGCGTAACCAACAGACCATGAAATGTTGTTTTAAGACTGTAGGCGATTTGGGATGTAGGCGAAATGAGAACATGCCATTAGTTGAGCTATGCTGTCCACCCCTATTTGATTAATGAGCTGACCCAGAGTCACTACAGGGTAGTATAGTAGTTAACAACACACTCCTATCTCCTGTCATCCTGGTTCCCGGGCCTCTCATTAGTTTATATAGACTATATAAACTAATGAGAGGCCCGGGAACAAGGATGATCTCCTGTGCCCTTCTCAAAACATATTACTAATCCTTTTACTGAACAGAACAGAATAGAACCGACATTTTATTCTCAAAAATCACATATAGTGACACAGGGAACATACAGCATATTGTAAATATTATAACATTGAACAAAGTCCAGTTTTGATAAATTTGGCAACTTTAGAGTTAAGCGGTGAATAATCACTTTTCATTAGATAAACAATTTTTTCAATAGTAGGATGTTTACAGAACTAATAATACATGAAGATCATCACAGACATCTAACTTCACACTATGCATAAGCTCACCTCATGCTTATTTACATGTTCGAGGCCAGTTACATCATGTTCATAAAGAAAACACTCAAGATCATGCACGTATAAATAACTGGAGAATAGGATGTTATAACAGTAGTTGAATTAGTGTTTGCAAATAACTGGAGAACAGGATGTTTTTAGTACTAAGATTATTTGAAGATGAAAGTGAAATAGTATTTATAAAATTCAGTATAAACAAAGTATTTAACTGGTGAACAGGATGTTTTCTAATAGTTATTTTTCACATGGCTTTTTTCCTATGACTTTTTTTCCGATCACCCTTCTAGATGGCTTCCTGTATGCCAAGAACAGGGTGAAAGGACAAACATGATGATGTTCAAATGACTTTCTAATAAGTCTTATATGTGCACTGACAAACATGTGACGTAAAATAATATGGTGCTTGGTCTCATATGTTTGATAGGTACATGTATATAAATTATTGTTTTTGATAAAATTTACAAGTAAATGTGATCTGGCAAATATGTGTTGATGTACATATATGGTGATGCAATATGTCTTAATTTAAAACTCATAATTGATTACATGAATTGATAAAACTATAGTTAATACCTAATGTTGTCTTTTTTATCTGGGCATATACCATTATTATCAGGGTACAGCTTCATTAAGCCTTATGCAACCAACCATAAAATGTGTTGTTTTGAGCGGTCTGTCTTTTGGGAGGTCTGTCTTATGGGAAGTGAGTGAGTGAGTGAGTATGGTTTTTACGCCGTTTTTAGCAATATTCCAGCAATATCACAGCGGGGGACACCACAAATGGGCTTCACACATTGTGCCCATGTGGGGAATCGAACCCGGGTCTTCGGCGTGACGAGCAAACGCTTTAACCACTAGGCTACCCCACCGCCCCTCTTATGGGAAGATACCTTATTACATGACCATTGAAACTCCCGTGAAAGCGGGTGAAAATGAACTGTGCGCATCCCCTCTCTCCCGCCCCTGATACTCGGAATATTTACAGACCTCCGCCAACATCTACGTGCAGGTGGCCGACTGTCATTCGTATCTTTATGCATATGCTCGCTACAGCGGATTATCCTATTGTGTGATCAGATAGGTGATAATGTTGTTATTCCGAACTTTATGGTCACTCTATCTCGACGGAATTATATAATATATTTTGTTGAAGGTCTTGATGCTAACGGCGTTTATGGGTGAGGTTCAGTATGAATTAGATTAACTGATCAGCTGGTATGTTGCCGCCTGTACACGTGGCACGTGGGATTTGATTAGGTGGTAGACAC